CTATATCTATATCTATATATTTCTATATCTATATCTATATATTTCTATATCTATATCTATATATTTCTATATCTATATCTATATATTTCTATATCTATCTATCTATCTATCTATCTATCTATCTATCTATCTATCTATCTATCTATCTATCTATCTATCTATCTATCTCCCTCTTTTTAATCCCTTCAACCTACTTTACTTTTGAATCAAGTAAAAGCCATTTGTAATATCAACTGGATGCAACATACTTATTTATACAGACTAGTACCAAGTGCTTATTAGAAATGTAATCACTCACCTTTTGTCCGGGACCCCCTGTATTACCCTAGAACAAAATTTTGAAAGACAAAAGGAAAATATAACAAGTGACAGCATCATATCTTAACCTAGAAGCCAACACAAGAAATCATGTATAGTAGATTTGATATTGCTTTCAACATTTAATAAAAGCAATAATTAGTTCAAGAGCTAACATCATTATAGTTACAGAAATCTATCTGATTAATCATTATAGTCATCTCTTTACCTTATCTAGCATAGATACATCTCTGACATTGTCATTTACTGGATTTCTAGTTAAATTCTAATCCTTTGTAGCAATATCTACAAGCATTTTAATGACAAATTTAATCTTAGAATTGTCACTGAATGCACATAAACTGCTAAATGTTAAAAAAGTGAAGTTGATATGTACCTGTGTCATATAAATGCAGATGAATATTAAATATAATTTTGAAACATGGTATTTTGCCAGTTGGATCAAACAATCCTCACATAATAAATATGCATGTTTTTCAGAATTATTGCTTTTAAAATGCACATACAATCTTTTGATCTATAGTCCATTAAGATTATTTCTAACAATTAAGAAACTATAAAAGAATTATCTCTCACATATGAATGTGGCATCCTACTTTCTATTCTTGTTTCTCTATATATCATTAGAAAAGTAGGTCAGGATATCTACATGTCAGTGTATTTCCAGGGTATCTGTATATAAATACTTAAAAGCAGTCAAGTCAATTGTGTATCGAAACATGTTGGTCTAACAGATGTTAAATAAATATATAAGTAAGCGAATAACCCATTGAGTCAGGAAATGATAAACAGTATGCCTAACAATGCTAAAAAAAACCAACAACAACCAACCCCAACAAACCATCAGCTTAGTGAAAGCTTCCTAAAAACTGTAAAGGATATAATTCTGAGTATTTATGTGCTAAATATCATTTAGTCTAGCTGTTTGGAGGTGACTATGTAGCATGTAACTCTCCTTTACACTGCCCTATTTTTCTGAACACAATGTCCTTATATCACAGATGTAAGAGATTTAACTCCTTGCTTTGTAAAATACTTTCCCATTCCACATGTAAGGTTTTTTTAAAAAAAAATCAACAGTGGCCATAGAGCAAAAGTGTCAAACTCGCAACCTGTGGGTGGATGCGTCTTGGGCTGGCCACACCCATGCCCAGTTTAGCAAGGGTGGGGGAATCATGATATGTCACGTGATGCTGCCATGACAATGTCAATTTGGCACCCCTGCTTTAGAGGGACTTTTAAAAAGTAATTAAAAAGTGTATCTGTGTTTTGTGTAAAGGAAGTAGCTGAGAACAGAAAGATTTAAGACTCCTAATCACAGTGCCTAGTGACCAGGTTCAAAGTCAAACTCAGTCATTTGTTCTAATATAAACTCAAAAACAAAACAACAATTGCATGTTAAATACATAGAATGAGTGAATGTACAAATGAATGAAGAAATGTGGTCATAGCCAGAACACTTCATTCAGTCACCCATTTTTATACTAAAGATATATTTAATATATTGTGTAGCTCAGCCTTAGGAATATCAGCAGGAGTGGATGTAAAAAAGTCAAGATGACAAACATGATCACATTTATCAAAGCCTCACACCTTTTCCATGTGCTTTAAACATGTGATGGCAACCATCATATTTAATTTTTGGAGCCCACCCCTTTTTCTCTTGCAGATGCTTCTGTTCAACCCACATACACTATTACATTGCTATAAGATATCTGATAAAGACGAGAAGAAAAACAAATATTTCCACACTCTTATTACAATACTCTGTATATATGAGAAAAGTCTGTATTTTTTCATTATTATTCTTCATTCCCAAAATCATAAACGCTATCTGTCTACAACAGGGACGTGCAGTCACTAGAGGCAAGGGAGGCTGAGCCTCCCCAGTCTCCTGAGAGAAAGGAAAGAGTTTTAAATATATATATTTTTTAATGAATTAAAGCCAGGATAGTTGCTACCAGATTTCAAGTCACAGTGGCTTGGTGTCTGCTCTCAGTGTTAACTAGGAGGAGGCCAGAGAACTCGGGGCCTCTTTTGCTTAAGGAATTTTTTGCCTTTTAAAAGTTAAGGCGGAGTTAAAAAGCAAAAGATTTAATATGCAAAAGAGGCACTGATTCTCCTGCCTCCTGATATGGGAGCAGCGAATCATGTCTTGCACTTGAGCGACTGCGCAAGTGCAAGGGTGATTCTGGAGAGGTTTTTCTTTCACCAGCCACCATTTCTTCTGCAGCCAGCCCAGCACTGAGCGGGGAGGACGAGGAGGAGGAGGAGAAGAGCGGTGAGCCCTTGTGGCTGGCTGGGGAGGGACTCACCGCTCTTCTCCCAGTCAGCCAGCCACTCACCCCCACCCGCCCTGCTCCCTGCTTGGCTGGCCGGCCGGCCGGCAAAAAGACTCACCGCTCTTCCCCTCCCAGCCAGCCAGCCAGCCACCCCCACCCGACCTGCTCCCAGCCGGCACAAAGACAAACCGCTCTTCTCCTCCCAGCCAGCCAGCCACCCGACCTGCTCCCAAGAATGTCAGCGGGGACGGAGGAGGCGGGGGGCGAGGCGGTAGAGCACGGCAGCGGCGAGAAGCAACACCCCTGCCGCTGTGTCCAACAGGCATCTCACGTTTATGTCCATCATAAACGAGAGATGCCTGTCGGACACAGCGGCGGGGTCGTGGCGTCTCGCCACTGCCGCGCTCTTGCCTCACCAACGGTATCCCTCACCGCACGTCACTGGTCTACAACATACACCAATTAACTTCTAATCCATTTTAGACCCTGAGAAAGAGAACATAGTGCTTGGAGTAACAAACCTTGAAACCCATTGGTCCTCTTATACCTGGCAATCCCATCAAACCTAAATCTCCCTTTTCACCCTAAAAGAAACAATGAAGAAAATTACTCACAATGGCCAGGTTTTATTGCAATGGTTGCACTAGTTGACAGCTGAAGAGAAATTTGTGCCATTTCTATATTTCTTAATGTATCCATATCATGGGAAATTACAATACGTAAAATTAGTTCAACACAAATTCTTTGCACAGAACAGTAAGCAAATGAGCAGATTGCTCAGATTGCTCCCTTGCTTTTATTACCATTGGATATAATTAACCTGGATGGCACTGAGCCAATTTGATTATTTGTATCACAGCGTAAGGCAGGGATGGACAGGTTCTGATGGCCATATAGTTTTGAAATGGGAGGCAATAGGATTCATTGGGCATGAAACATTTAAGAAGATTTTCTATCCCGTTTTTAAAGGGTGTTGAGCTAATGTAGGTTTATGCTCCAAAATTTCTTTATTTCTGACATTAGGAAACTATCCCACCAGTTGTCAGCAATCACACTGCCAAATTTCCTGATGGGTGAAAAGATTGCAACAAAGAGGTCCTCTTCTTGTACTTTCAATGAACAGTTTGTCAGTGATTTCTTCTAAGATGTTTTTCAGTGAATTAGTTAAGTTTATAGTCCTAGTGTTCCCTGATAATCTCCCATTCAAGTATTAACTACATTGATTATATGATTACCTTCCTACTGACCATCTGTAGCCAACACTCCCCCTGCCTTCTCATAGATGCTCTTAAGAAGAAAATATGTTCTGATTGATATAATAATTTCAACCCATAATTTCACTACTTTTATAAAAACAACTATAGAGAGAAATTTATATAAAGGGTAATGTTTATAGCTCAGGGTTGAAATGAGGGGTCCTTGGTGCTCTGTGCTTGTTGGCTTTCTTGCAGATGTTTCAGTACCCAAGCTAAGTAACATCATCAATGCTAGTAAGGAGTGGGGTTTGCTTTCAATTTGTATTCTAATGGCTTGTCCAGTTGGTGTTGGTGGAAATGGTTTTGGTGGTTTGTTGTTGTTTTTGGTTGGGCTGTTTACTGTGGTTTGTTTGGCAGTTCTTTGATTGGAGTATTTTTCACATCTTAAATGTTGGTCTAATGTTAATCTTGATGTTAAATTCTGCTCATCTGGGTGTTGAATGCTGGTGGGAAGATATTTTGGTCTCTCTTTTTGGCTTATTGATTGTCTCTTTTGAATAGTTTCTCTATTTATCTCTACATGCTTGCTGATCATCGATTTGTCTGAGTGCCAATATTCTAGAAATTCTCTAGCATCTATGGATTTTACTTGGTCAAGGATGGTCAAGGTTTTCCAATTGAAACTATGGTTACGTTTGTCAATATGTTGTAAAATTAAAGAGTTTTCATCATGTCTTCTGGCTACTGGTTAGGGTTCATGGATAAATTCAGCTAGCCTTCTATCTGATTGTCCTACATAATGACTGTTACAGTCTTTAGTCTGTATGTTGCAAATGATTCTTATTTTTCTTCTGGGACTGCTGGGTATTTTGGTTTACTTAGAATATTTTGGAAAGGTTTAGTTGTTTTGTGTGCTATGCTGAGGTCATGTAGTTGCAATAGTGTGTTGATGGTTTCTAAGATGTTTTTGAGGGATGACAGTGTTAGCCTTTTTACAGCTTCAGTGGGTTGTGCTATATTGGGTTCAGCAGTCAAGCACGTTTTTGATGAAGTTGCACATATATCCATTTTGTTAGATGTGATATGGATGATCTGTTTCTTTATCCTGCTGTTCAGGATTGCTGCAATGTGTTCTTACGCAGCTTCTCTTGTGGGAGGTTGGATTATTACTTACTTTGATAGTGGAGCACTTGGTTGGTATGGATGGTTTTCAGTACACCTGTGTTTTAGTTTGCCATTGTACTCTCTGCTAATAAGAATATCCATGAAAGTTAAGGTGTTATTTTTTTCTTCTCTTGTGAATTAGATTCCTTTTAAGATGTTGCTGATGGTTTGTTAATTGGTCCTTTTTTACTATGGTAAAAGTGTTATCTAAATACCTGGTACATATTTTGGGTTGTATGTGTGGGAATGCTATCAATTCCAGACAATTCCAGAAATATATACCTATTAATTCTATATGAATAATTAATTTAAGTTAAACTTTGTTGTTACATGAAATCTGGTGTTTGGACATCATCTGCCCAAAGCACACAACAGATTTTTCAAACTCATCATTTATTAGCAACCTTTTATAGGAAATACCTTGGGTTTCAATAAGATTATAATTTACATTACAAGTAGGCTGATTGACAAATCACTCATCAGTAGCTTAATCTTACCTTTAGTCCCATTGGACCAGGCCATCCAATAGATCCTGGCATTCCAGGGACACCTGGAGGACCTCGACTGCCCTTCAAAAAAACAGACGATGGAGTAAATGAAATGAAATTAATTTAATTAAATTAATCAGATATAATAGCATGGGTGTTCACATAGTTTCAACATTCAAAACGACTGTAACGTTGTAACTTCAACTAGTAATTAGTCACCTACTTTACATACACCATTGGAAATTCTCCATGACCGTGAAGCACCCAGAAATCCAATGTACTCATCCCTTCCTCATCTGTCACTTCATTGCAGCCATTAAACCAGATTTCAGGAAAAGGAGAATTAGATCTGCCAAGAAAATGGCTGCTGGAATAGGAACTTCTTGGCCCAGAAGTGAAAGAGAAGGGGAGCCTAACAGATTTCTTGGGACAGGAATAACTTCTTTTTCAACTATAGAGAATGGATATGTGATATCTATATATCTCAGATTAATGCATGTTTATCAGTGTCTGATGTCATGTAGAACTTTTATAACAAATCTACATGCCTTAGCATATGCACAAAAGCAGCCTTCCCCAACCTGAACCCATTTTAGATGTATGGACTTCAGTTTTCAGTATTCTCCGCAATGCCAATAGTGGTTGGAGGACTCTGACCACTGAAATCCACACCTGGAATTAAATTAAGTTGGGAAAAACTTCTAGAAATCAGCTTTCCCAAATGTGCTGGACTACAACTTCCATCACCCACATCCAGCATGACCTTGCTGAGTGGAAGTCAGGGGTTGCAGTCCAACACACCATGAGGGTGCCAGATTGAAGATGGCTGCCGCAAGCCTTATAATGTAAGAGATCTTATGCGTTTTTTCTTATACCTTTCTTCCTGGTCTTCCAATCTCACCCTGTCAGAGAAAATAATACATCAGTAGGAGTCACAAACAATTTGAATGTAGCTGGACATTTTTAATTTGGTTGATTAGCAAGAAGAGAGGAAAGCAGTGTGTGACAGATTCCTATATTCTTTTTTATATTCAGGATTTCTATTAATCAGACAGATCACACTTCTTGGGACCAAGATAACACTCATAAAATGAATACTGGGGGGGGGGGACAGTGATGACCCCAAACATTAAGGCTCCTCCAGGTTTTTTGGGAGACAAGTTTGGAGGGAGTCCAGATGACTTCCCTAACTTGGCTGGGAAAAATCTGAAAATGTGTTTAGATGACATGATTAGATTGTTCTTTGTCTGAGCAGGAATCTTACACAATCAAGATTCTGACCATCCAGAGGACAGAAAGGATCTTCAGTAAATCAAAACTGAAGCTCCTCTTCAACCTCTCCAATTCAACCTACAATGGTCAAGAAAAAAGGCCAGAACCAGAAGTTGCATTCCAAATTCCTACTATTGAGATATGAAGACAGCCAAATCAGGAGTGGATTGCTGCTGGTTTTACTACCGGTTCGCAACCCGCACTTCCTGTGCACACACATGCACGTGCTGTTCAATGTAAATTGTTCTGCACACATGCACAGAACAATTTACAGCGAACTGCGCACACACAGTCACTGAAATCCAAAATGGTAGTGGTCCAGCAGCGGCGAGGGAACCTGTTCAGGGGTATGACAGGCCTGTGTCCCTGCTGGTTCTGCAACCAAGGCCTGAGTTCCACTACTGGTTCGGCTGAACCCGGATGACTGGCAGCAACCCACCTCTGAATCAAATCTGGATTACAAAAATCTAGATGGCAGCAAATATTTAATTTCTGAATCTCTTTGCTGCCATGTATATGAATTTTTGAAGCCCAGATCTGCCAATCTTAAGATATGATCTCGTACTCTGACATGCTTTGTTTAAAGTAGGCATTTCTGCTACAAAAATCCAGATTTAGTTGGTAATAAAGAAATAAAATTTAAAAACCCTTTTTCCTGCCATTTGGGTTTAAAAGTTGAGTTATGAGAACCTTCCCTACAGGTGAACTGCATTTCTACAACAATCAACGTAATCAGCTTGCATTCCATATTTGCATACTTGTATGAGCAAATTCCCCCAAGGTTTTTTGGGTTTTTTTACATTAACAAAACAACTTTGGAGCTTACTTTTACTCCCTTTGGTCCTTTCACACCAGGAATACCTTGTGGGCCCTAAAAATAGAAGTACGGTGTTTAAATAACTTCATCATGCAATTTGTTCACTAACTTATCAGTGATAACTTGTGACTCCACATAACTTTTCTTATTTCTTATTGAAAGAATCTATACCAAGTTTAGACACTACAATTTCTCTTTGGGCAGCATATAAATGTTATTAAACTCGAAACTCGAAACCCTTTAATTTGGACAGAAAACTTCACATGCAACATGGTTCATGTCTGTTTAGAGCAGCCGCTGCTATTTTGGCCTCATTTAATGTTCAGATTTTAGGAATTTTTAGACGTAATGATAGATGCTTCCAAAAAGGCTTTTATTGTGCAACCTCCTTATAAACTCTGGAATTTTGTTAATGACTCAGAATGACATTTTCTTGCCATTGTAACTCTGTCCTTTGCCTTCACATCTGCTTACATATTTGTTTCTAGAAATATTATTTAAGGAACAGTTAGACTGTGCTTTCATTTGGTAGAATTTGGAGTCTTTCCTATGGAAACACTATATATTGGAGAGATTGGATGGAAGCATAACAGCTGGAATTTTGGGGATGGAGTGATTCTATTTAGCAATGAAAAAAATAGAAAAACCCATTTTAGTTATAGTTAGATTAGGCTCCCAGAACTGACCAGATGGAAATGAAGCTAGCAAGCACATCTGCCTGAACCTTATGCTGCAACAATGGAGAAACTTAAAAAGAAAGAATGTGGCAGCAACAGCCATGTTAGACTTCCAGACCCTTAGATGTGCTGAGAGGGGACAGATGGGAACAGATAGGCACCAGTTCAGCCCTAAGTGTGCCACTGCGCTAACTAGGCTATTTTTAAAATTAGGCATTTCAGTAGAAAATTAAAGCTTGCCTACGTCTCAAAATCAAATAGAGGTGGTATGTTCAAAGATTAGCAAATAATTATAGTTTAAAATTAATATTTCTGAAACTTTTAATGTTTCCCCCTTGTTTAAGATGATCTGCACCCATCAAACAAGAGCTAAGTTTTCAGAATAGACCTATAGAAACATTGGATTCCTTACTAGTTTATATAATATTTAATTGCTTACATATTTAAACCAGTCTATTTAAAAAGCACTAAAAGCACCTTTTGCCTTGATGGCTCAACAAGTATATTAACTAAATGAAGGCCCTATAAGTATATTTTAAGTAAGGAGGCTGCTTTATTTGCATCATTCCCATCCTCCTCTCATTGTGCGTTTTCTATTCTTCCATGCCATCTGATAAAGTAACTTATGAGAAATCCTGTCCCCGGTGACTACATTTTGTCCTTCCAAAATAAAATACTAACCTGGGGGCCAGGAGGTCCTGGGGGACATACAGATTCTGCACAGGGAGATTGTGTTATCTGAAGCTCTTGACACAAGTTTTTCAGATCCAGAGTAAACAACATCTAAGAAATTAAAAGGAGGAGGGGAGGCACAAAAGGACATAAAAGGTAAAATCTGTTTTGAGTTGAGTTTAACTCTTGATAACTTTATGGATATATCCATGCAATTTTCTTAGTAAGAGCATGGAAGGGATTTGCCATTGTCTTTTTCTAGATGCTTAGCTAAAGCTTTGATAATTCTATTTTGGCTTCCCATCCAAGTATCAACAATGCTTGACTTTATTTAGCTTCTCAGAGCCAATAAGGTTGATAAAGTACAATTATGTGTTGAATAAAGTCCCACTAGAATTGAGGTTCATGGAACATCCTGATATATCCATGTATTTATTTCTTACCAATATTACAAAATCGTTTGTATGGTCTGCTGCTGGAATGACTTTTCAGCTTCCTGATTCTTTCCATAGTTTCCTGGAGATCTTACAGCCAAAAACTAACCCAATCCTGTTTAGCTTCCCAATATAAATGCCCCATATACATGAGCAGTAGTCCAATTTCGGAACAGCTGAATAAATTTTTGTATATGTAGCACCTCTTTCATCCATTCATGGGTCATCTAGATATTTTCCAATTTCTGATTCCCAGGTTCTATCCAATGTTTTTGGATAGAAAGAGTTCTAGCTCAATAACTGGGTTCCCTTCACACTAAGCAATGGTTTGATACATAATCTAGAAATAGCTGGATTCACCTTTGATACTAAATTCTACATCATGGTTTACGTGCCACAAAGGTCAACATACTAAGCCATAGCAAGGTTTATTCTTTGTGGGAAATAAGGCTACCAGTGGTTATAAACCATTTTGTTACTAATAAAATAAATGTTTCTGGGACATATGAACTGCTACTAAGCTCACATATGGGTAAGCCTGTTTGGTCTCTGTGGAAATAGAATACTAGACTACACGGGATTTCAATCTGACTCTTCTCACCTTCTTTCTACAACACAACTTCCTCAACCAAAATAGACCTTCCTGCTTATAGCACAAATTGCAAGTAGCAGATGCTCCCAGAAATAGCATCTCCCAATAAAGCAGTCACCATATGACCCGAATACAGGTATTTCTCTATTTACGACTGTAATTGAGCCTGGGATTAGAGTCATAAATTGTGCTGAACACTAGACAACCCTTGATTTTACAAACACTTTTGTGGCACTTGTTAAGTGAATTACCATAGTCGTTAACTGAATAATCTATTGTCCACCACAGGTGTTTCCAGAAAAAAAGTGTCATAAATCACAGTCACATACTATGGTATGCTGCAAACTGCTGTAAATTTGGACCAGTTGCTGAGCACCTGAAATGTGACCATGTGACCAGTTCTGCTTCTTGCAAAGTATTCATTTAAAAAAATGAAATAACAGTCAGAGGACACATATCATATTATCTTAGCTATTAAAACTGAAGTTATATAATAATAGAACAGGGAACAATAGAAAGTCTTTCTCTCCTGACAGTTTTTCATATTACAATAAAATTAGGACTCCCAGTTCTTCTGCAAGCTCTGCAGTCAGCTCTGACCTCTTCCTGTCCGAGGGTTCAATTTTGGACCACAGCCACCCTGAAGGGGTGATGAAGTAAGGTGGGACCACCTGGCAGGTCGAGAAGAGCTTCAATTCTCCTCCCTGACTGGGAAAGCTCCTTCATGTGAAGACGAGGAGCAGTGGCAGCCAAAATGGCTGCCATGAAGCTGGGAACAGCCTGAATACCCAAGATTGAGCTGGAGAGAGAAAGTGAATGGAGTGTGAGCTGGGTGAGAAAATACTTTTTATTGGAAGTTGACCCCAGAAATACGAGTGGGAAGCATATTTAAAGCTATTTTTTGAAGCTGCGAATGGGCACACAGGAAAAATACCGAAGAATTGAAGAAGAAAAATTGGTTTTTAAATAATAAATAGAAACTTGGTTCCTCAAAGCTAAAAGGCATGGTATTGAGAGCATTTTAAAATGCTGGAATTAAAGCCCCAAATTTATCCTTACAAACATTGCTCAATGATCAGATTTATAATTTAAAAATTATTTGAATAATTGAAAAAGTAATTGAAATCAGAACGCTTAACAATATCGCAGAGATTGAAGCAGACAGAAGCGAGAGTGCCATCTGCTGACGAAAAGGGAAATATGCAAACTATTCAAAAAGACGAAATATTTGTTAAATACAGACCTGCTCTAAGATCATTAGAGATTTGATTATTAACTAAGGACTTCAGTTAAGAGCCCCTGAACATAATTGAATATTATTGAACATATATGGTAATTTGAAAAGGCGTGGCTATCTCCTGGTGAATTCAAATTGCATGGACTGACTATTGATGAGACATTTAAATTGTGACTTGAAAGTTTGACTTTTTGAATTAATGAACTCTGGACAGTGGACTAAAAAAAGAGATTGGCTACACACAGATACAACATAAGACAGAAGTGAGGAGAACCTAAACAGAATGGAGTTTTTTTAAAGCATTGAGAAAATATTTGATAGTATAGACCAAAACTGGGAAATTTAATACAAAGAATAACGGACAATGATAAGGACAAGGAAGAAAGAATGGAGCTACCAGAAGAAACAGAGAGGAAAGTGGAGAGAAATCAGCAAGAGGAAGATAACAAGGAGGAGATGTTGGCAAAATGAATAGTGATTAAGGAACTAAAGAAGGAGGGAAATAATGTTAAAGATTTTAAAAGGGAATGGGAGAAACAGGAAAAGATCTGGAGAAAAGAGATAGATGGTGGAATGGATAGTTCTGAAATAGACAAGTGGGAAAGGGTAGAGTTGGGAGGAAAAGTTAGATTGCATAGACAAATAGAGGGAATAAAAGACCTAAGGGACAAATATGAATATAAATACCTAATGTATAAATGATCATGATTGATACTAAAACTGTATAAAGAGACATTGAAAAATGGAAGAAAGAAGGATGGAACTTTGATTTAACTAAGGAAATATGAACAACAAAATAGGTGGAAAACATGTTATAGCAATATGAAATGGGGGAAGTTAAAATAGGGATAGAAAATAATGGGGGAAATAATAATTATATATTAAAATAATTATAAAATGTTAACATATACAAAAGGACAGAAAGATGGTTCAGAAAAGAAGGGTGATAATAAAATAATAATAAATAAATAAATAATATGAAACAATGGAAATGAAATGTAATATTTAGGAATAATAAGACTATGTTTATGTGCGCTGAAATGTATGTTACCCAGTTACCACATCATTCACTCGGTGATATGTATAAAGTATATAAAAATAAAAAATTGATTGAAAAATAAAAAGAAAGCATAAAACTATATTAGTTACTATAGCTTGATTGTATACATTTCCTCTCACATATTCCAATAATGTTATTTAAGATCACTACCCTCTGCTCTGAGTCAGCAGAAGACTTTGCATATACAGTATTCGTCTATATAAAGTATTTCGAAGATTTTTAGAGGCTGTGGAATGGTTTTTTAAATTTCAGATTCTTCTGAAACTGTGGAAACTGCAGGGAAAGATTCAACACTTTAAAATAGATAGCTAGATAGCTAGATGATAGATAGATAGATGATAGATAGGTAGATAGATAGATAGATGATAGATAGATAGATAGATAGATAGATAGATAGATAGATAGATAGATAGATAG